ATCATTAAATAAAACACCCAGTACATTTGAAAACACAGAATACCCTCATGCAGGGATAGACACCATTTCAAAAAACCAGAATCACAAGGATAATCATGAAGTTGAATATTTTTCTTTCCAAATCTTTATTCTTGTCACCTGCATTTCTTATTAGTATGGTTAGTGGACTGCTATTTTTATTTCTCGGTACTTAAAAGAAGTTAAACTTCTTTGCAGGGTTCTTATTCGGCCACATCCGGCAATTTGGCGCTTAGTTCATGGAATGGCTGTTGTTTTCCTTGTTGCACTCACATTTTTACTTTTTCAGGTTAGTTTCCTGATGCAGCTTTTATTTATTTATTTTCTTTAAGTATATTGTAGCTTTGTCCGTCCATTGCGAAGTGTATATATATTTTTATTATTTTATATATTATGCGTGTATATTTGCTTTTGTATCTAGTAGATTTATTTATTTTTGTTGGTCAACATCATGTGCTACACCTGGAGTCTTAATCAATCTCTTGGCTCTTGAGGAATTATGCTTAAGCCAAGGAAGAGATTTAGCAGTCATGGAGACAAGACCTAGTGTAAGAGTAGGAGCAGGACCAGGAGGCTTAGGCACCTAAGTAGTGTAGTGAGCTATGCTAAACTAGCCATTTGAGGAGAAAGGGGTATAGCATTTGTTACCCCGCAGGAAACCATGTTAATCTTACTTGTTATCATAAACGCTTGCCCTCTTCACAATTTAAAGCTTTGGTACCGTTAACATATCATCACTTATCAAAGTTGCTTGGCGTTGCAAATAAGAACTGAAATGCATTACCACACATGAGAAGAAGTAAAATATACATATATGTATGCGTAAAGGGTTATAATAAATGATTAGTGATGGTTTCTCTCAATTCTGTTTCAGACGCGCAACGATGCTAGACAATTCATGAAGTTTCTTCATCCTGACCTTGGTGTTGGTACTGCTTTTGCCTCTGAAAGATATTTAGTGTCATAACTGCTCTGCTGTTATTAATTCTATTGGTTTTTCTTGACTTATTATTTGCATTTTCATGCAGAGCTTCCAGAACGATCCTATGGTGCTGATTGTCGCATATATATTCCTGAAAATCCCTCTAACAGATTTAAGAATGTTTATGTATGGATCTTCTTGCACAACCTGGATTCTCTACTCTATTCTACTTCTTTTACCTCTTTTTCTTTAGGTATTTATTTTAATGCATGCTTGAGCTTGTCTTTCTCTATGCAATTGTTCTGGTTTTATATTTTGCAATTCTAATCTTGTTACACCTAAATAAAACCATTTCTAGGAGACGCTATTTGATGAATTTGTTCTAGCCCACATCTTTGGTTGGTGGGGCAAGGCCATTTTAATCCGCAATCAGCCGCTTCTCTGGGTCCTCTCGATTGGATTCGAGTTTATGGAGGTTAAATTTTGACCCAATAATGATATACTTACTGTTTTTTTTATTGTTATGATCTCCTTTTAGAAGTATTATCATTAATAAGGTAATGCACTTCCATACTGTTTTTGTATCGATAAACTGACTACTGTGATGGCATATGCAGCTTACCTTCCGACACATGCTACCCAACTTTAATGAGTGTTGGTGGGACAGCATTATTCTTGATATTTTGATATGTAATTGGTTTGGTAAGATCCTGCACTTCCATTTTATTACCCTTTGTTTTCCATATGTTCTTTTCCTTTGGTCTCTGTTGTGTTTAAGGCTGTAGCATATGATTTGACTGAAACTCTGAAAGTGACGAGGCCACTGGCTAACTTATTTTTGGAACAGTCTTTTAAGTTCCATTTTCAATTATTCAAATGTTTGTTAGCAAGTTTTTATACGGTGTGGTAAAATGAACTAATTTTTGTTAGGGGTCATATTTTGTGCTATGATATTTCCCGTCACTCAGAGTGGTTCTGGGGTTCCCAGTCTCTTTAGTTGATCATTATTGTTTTTTTTTGTTGCATGACAGAAGAGTTTTTCTGCCATCCTATTTGATATTTCTTGTTCAGCTTATATTTTCATGTATTTGTTGATATTTCTGTGAGAAATGCTTCTGTGGTTTTGATGTTTCATGATGCTGTCACTTCTTAACATGGTGGAAGAAAATTTTCAGAAAAGGGGAAGTGGAAATAGTGTAGTTTTAGGGACCCTAAATCCTTTAATTGAATTGAAGAGATCTAAACTGGATCCCAATCATAATAGTTGGGAAACCAAATGACTAATATAATTCTCTTTTAACATTACTTTGTTAAGACTTTATGTATCTTCAATAACCAAGTTTGTCTCACTTAACTCATGACACCATATTCAATTGGTATGAAAATGGTTTTTAGCTCCACATATGATTGTATTCCTCATCCTGCATTGCTGCTTGTTTCCCCACAAGTTTTCTTACTTTTGCAACCTAAGTTGGAGTAGCAGTTTTCTGTCTATTATAAAGAGTATATAGTCTTCACTTCTATTTTGTTGTAAGTTTCTGGTCCGGAACTAAAGAGTTAAAGATTCTTCAGCCTATATATTGACAACATATTTGTTCTGCTTGTAGGTATTTGGGCTGGAATGCATACTGTTAGGTACTTTGATGGAAGAACTTATGAGTGGGTTGGTATAAGCCGTCAGCCTAACATCATTGGCAAAGTATGTTTTCCCGTGTAATACTTGGCTTACAAACTGAACTTTGGGCTTTAACTTTCAATCGCCTTGTTATTTTTGAAGCTTTCATAGACCAATAGAGTTAAAATTCGAGTCACAAAATTGTTGTCGCACTTTGCTTTTGTCAGGTGAAACGAACATTAGGACAATTTACGCCGGCACACTGGGACAAAGATGAATGGCACCCATTGCTTGGTCCATGGCGTTTCATTCAAGTCCTCAGCCTTTGCATTGTCTTCTTGACGGTTGAACTTAATACATTCTTTCTAAAGTTTTGTCTCTGGATTCCTTCTCGAAACCCTGTGATTGTCTACAGGTTGATTTTGTGGTGGCTAATAGCAATACCAACAATTCGTGAGTACAACTCATACCTCCAAGACAGGTACTATATCGTTCTCTCTCCATTGTTATGAGACGTATATGTATATATAGTGCCAGAAAATTATCGATAGCAGAATTTTTTTTTGTTTCACTTGAAAACTAGTTGAATCGTTTCAGAAAACCAGTGAAAAAGGTTGGAGCTTTCTGTTGGCTTTCACTTGCAATTTGCATAATTGAGCTTCTCATATGCATCAAGTTTGGACATGGTATGATACAATCCCCATACATTATATATGATGGTCGTTTGAGAAATAATAATTTGTACGCGAATGATAATTGTATTATGGTTGATTTGATTAGATTTTTTGGCCTGTTTGCAACTGCATTCACTGTTGTTTTCTTCTATTCCCCACCCCCATCAGGTTTATACCCTAAGCCAATGCCGAAATGGGTGGTAATATTCTGGTCATCGATGGGGTTGGCTCTTACATTGTTCCTTGTGATTTGGTCGTGGAAAGTGCAACGGAGTTACGGCAAAAAGAGACGATAATTTTGGCAACGGAATACACTATTCTTTCGGGATGGGGGGCATCCTTCAATTCAAGGGAGCGATGTACATAAGTGTGACTTTATCATAAACTGTAAATGCATATTATTCTATTCTTTTTGTTGTTAGGATTAGGATAGAAAAATATGCTCCTAATTTCATGGTTTGCCACCATTTTACTTACCAATTTGTGTCTAAAATTTCCAACTGTCTCAGCGTTGGAAGCCTTTCCTGTTGTATTTCTCTCTATTGGTTTTCTTTCAGATGCAAACTTGTATTAGATTTTCCAGCTTTTTCTTGCAGTCAATGAACAGTAATTTATTGGTTTTATTCAGTCTCTTGTCTATTGGAATTGCATGTAATATTTGTTACCATGTATCCATGACTTTTGCTAGATGGGCCAAACATTTTGAAGGCATTTGAGAACAGTTTTTTTTTAACCACATATATCATTAAATTTTACAAGAAAGTATTATAGGGTTGATTCTTTTAATTATAGGGTTAATTCTATTCACAAATATCATATTTGTACTTGGAGGATCTTAACTATGTCTAGGGATGACAAACGGGTATAATTTCGTAGATTTTGCACCGTACTCGCTCCAATTGGGATAGAGATGGGTATAACTTTAGTGGGTAGTGAGCGGGTGTGGATTTAGAAAGTGCTACCCGTCACGGGTAGTGGGCGGGTGATGAGTATGAGACCTTATTCGTCACGCATCCGCCTGCCCAACATTCGTCCGCCCACTAAATACTCATTAAATTTTGGATCATTATGAATTTATGTATAATTTTAGAGACTAATTTATAAATCTTATTATTGAATAAGATATAACTTATAATTTATATACTTTAAGATCTATGTTAACACTTAACTCAGATAATCATTGGTTTATTTTATTATACTTTTTAATGGACGTGTTTGTTTTATGTTTGATGCTTATGTATAACTTAAGGTTGCTGTCAGGCGGGTCTAGCCAGGTACGTCTCCAGTTGGGTAGTGGGTGTGTGGATGAATTTGAGAATGTACTCGCGTGGGCGGGTGTGGATTTAAAAAATTTTACCCATTTGAGGCTTATGTGTGATCATTATACCATGCTACTATATCAAATTATACTTGGATCGCCTAATAAGTTATCTAACAATCATCCAACCATTTGAGGCTCTTCAAACCATCATCCAAATCTCCATCCTTCCTTCAAACACAAATCATGTCATCAAAGCTCAATTCTATTTTATTAATTTAGGATCTTATTTATATGTACGAAGATGATGTCATGTTTATAATATATTTTATAATTTAATAAGTGAGAAAATAATCGAAATGAGATCAATATAAAACAAATCGTAGATAAGAGGTAAAATTTCTTAACTAATTAAATTAATCATCAAATAATTGTCCACTATTAAAAATAATAAAAATTTTGCACGGATAGTATAATAACAACAGTATAGTTGTGTGGTTAGCAGAGATGAGTACGAGAATATGATCGTGTTCAAGTCACGGAATAAGATGATGAAGGTATAAAGAGAATAATGGAGACAGACCAGACCTGCTTATGCCAATCTATACAATTCGTTATGGCAGAGAGCAAAAGTATTTGCAGCAAGGCACCAGACTGTATTCCAATCCAAAGTCCCTCTCCTCTCATCTGAACCCAAAATCCCAATACGCCGGAACCCGGAACACCGCAAAGATAGTATGCAGCAAGGTTGATATAAGCCCCCAAATCCTTCCATCCCGATCCCCTTGCAATACCTGGAAAACCAGATCGGATAAAAGCTGCATGCTTGAATAAATATGTATCGAGACGACCGAATGAATGAACTTACCTGAGAGGACAGCTTGTAAAGTATCCAAAATAACAGACGCCGCTAGCAAAGGAGCCCTGTCTGTGACATAACTAACAACTTCCTTGTCATTGCTGAAAACATAACCGAAAACATGCCTACTGGAAACGAGGGCTGCAGAGACGGTAACCGACTCTAATACCGCAATCGTCAAGGCAGTGAAGGCAGCAAAACGAGCAGAACGCTGGTTCCCTGCTCCTAGTTCATTCGAAACTCTAGTGCTGTTCGAAGAAAACATTTTTGTTAAGACCAGTTCGATTGATGTACAAATGCCTCATGCATGTTATATAACATATACCTTGCAGCAGCACGTATTCCCTCTGGTATTGGATATAGTGCAGACATGGTTGCTAGACTGGTAAAATGAAGAGCAAAGCCATCAACAAAATTTACAAGCTAATATTTTGTTTGAGGGCTAACTGAAAGAATACAACACAGCAGAGAATGTACCAAACCGATGTAACTGATGTTTCAAGTTGTGGGTTTCGTAAAAATCCAGAAAATATTATAAGCAACTCAAATGACCACCATTCAAGGCTGCAACCAAAGATAATTGGAAATGAACATAAAGCAAACACTGTAAAGAGAAATTCGATCACGATTGCAAAGAGAATTACCAAATCATTGAAGCGGAAGGGATAGCAAAATGGAAGAACTCTCGAATTCCTCGAAACACATCCATGGAAACGGGGACTAGGCTTGTTGAGCAAGTATCAGAGAACATCATGTATAATCCTAGTGAAACCACATTAGTCCAGTAGGAAATGCTGATTGCCAATGCTGCTCCTTGGCCATTTAGTCCACACTTGAACACTAAAGCCCAACAAAGAAGCAAGTGGAAACAAAGAGTGGAACAAGAGCTTACAAGCAATGGCATGATCAAACTTTGTGACTGAAAGAATCGAACGATGGGTTGAAGAGATGCATAAGCATAGAGAGCAGGGATGAGCCACATGATTAATTTACCAGCCACCATTGAAATAAGAGGATCTTGACCAACTAGAGCCAGTAATTTACCCATATAAACCCATAGGACAGTCAAAGGAACACAAGCTAAGATGAGGGAGAATATAGATGTATAAGTCTGAGTTCCCAGTTTCCCATATTGCTGAGCTCCATAAGCTTGCCCAGACAAAGTTTCAAGTGCACCTAACATCCCAAACTGTTCTTGGCATGTTCCAATAGGAGTTCAGTCTTCTTCAATATGATTTAGGATAAAGTATACAAATGATCCCTCGACTATAGGATATTGCTTTGTTGAGCCCCTAACTATTAAAAGTTACAATATAATCCTATGATTATAGGACATTATTTTGTTAAGTACTCCGACAGTTAAAAGTTATATAATGGTCATTTGACTATTTATATATTTCAAACTCGTCATTTTATATTAAAAATTTGATGGTCATCTGACCTGACCTGAACGTTACACTACTTATTGAGATATGATAAAATTATATTTTAAAAATATTCACTAGCACCATCCTTGCTTTTAATCATTGACTCAACATTATAATGTAAACAGATTGTCAACATATTAACATCCATCTCAGTCGGAAGATATTATATAACTTTTAACACTTGAGGAATTTAATAAAATAATATCTTATAATTGAGGGATAATTCTATAACTTTTAATATTCGGAAACTGAATAAAACAATATAGGATATTTTTGTACTTCACCCTGTCGTAACCGGTTTTCGCCCGGGCACGAATTTTTTTACTTGGCGGGAAAAGTGATATGAATAAATGGTTTTTAAAATAATTTGGGAGTCGCCATCGGCCTTTTGGGTCAGGTAGGTCAAATACCTAAAAATCATCCTTTAAAAGAGTTTTTAAGAAAACATCAATTAAAAGATAAACTGATCTGCGTTTTAACCAAAAATTCGTTCTTTTTAATAATAAAAAGGGATTCGTGGTCGGTTACGTTTAGGGAAGGATTAGCACCCCTACAACGCCCAAAATTGGTACTTTTTAATTATAAATTGTCTCTATCATTAGAAATTTAAAAATTCAAATATATATTTAACTTATAATATTTTTTTATTTCAATTTTATGATTTTATGAAAAGATATTAATATAAATAAGATATTTATTTATTTAGAAATATCATAAAAGGGCTTCTAGGTGTTTTAAGACAGCTCTTTTCTTTGATATAGAAATAAATAAAACATTTATTAAAAGTTAATATAAGATTTATAAAAATAGGATATTTAGTAAAAATATCAGAAAACGGACTTCTAGGTGTTTTAAGACATTCCTTTTTCTTAATATTGAAAAATAAATATATATTAAAATATGATTATTAAAAGTAATTTATGAAATATAGGATTTTAATAGAAAACAAATAGAATAAATAAACAAATATTATTATATATATATATATATATATTTATTTATATAAATAATAAAAATAATAATAATGAAATAATAATTAAAGCAATAATAATAATAAAATAATATTGCAAATAATGATTAAAATAAAAGGAATTAAAAATATATAGTATTAAAATGTAAAATATTAAAAATAAATAGTCAAAAATGAAAATTTAATGATTAAAATGTAAAATTATAAAACTAGAGTCCTAATTCGAAATATATAAAAGATGGGCATTAAAAGTGTAATTTAACCATAATTCATAATACGAGATTAAAATAATAATTACTAAACTATGAGGGACTAAATTTGATATTTACCCTAAATATATATATATATATATATATATATATATATATGCTGATAAGGACTAAATTAAAATAAAATAAAATTCGAAGACTGAATTAGAATGTTCAGAAGTTAGTTTTAGTGACTAAAATGGAATGTTACAAAACTATGATGGCTGCGTGTATGGTTTAACCATACGAGAATTTACACAAATACGCCTCCCCGAAACGACGCCGTTCGGGAAGGGTATTTAAACCCTTTTAAACCGGCCCTAGGGGCCATTATTTCATTTCTCTGGTTTTGTTTCTCTCTCTTTAGAGAGAGATGCTCTCGTTTTCTCTCGTCGAAAGAGAAAACCGGCCACCGTTTCCGACGCCGATCGCCACCACCAGCCACCTCTCACGGTGACCGGAACTCCTAAATTACCCTAGAGCATAGATCTCGACCTTCTAAGGCCGAATATGGCCTCCGTTTGTCCTAAAACGCTTTAGATCGTTCTAGATCTAAAAAATAAATCGAAGGTTTTTACCTTCGACTTTCGGTTTTCCGACCTCGTAAGGAGAATCCGATGACTGCAGTTTCCTTGGTAAGCTTCTTTCCTCTCTTTTCTTTCAATATTTGGCTATTGTGGGTGGTTGTTGTGGTTCTGTCTTCCGTTCTTCTCTTCGTTTTTTTTTTCTTTCTCTTTGTCCCTTTTTTTTCTTCTGTTCTCTCTGTCCCCTTTGTTTTGCAGGATCCGGTGGCTTTTATAGCCAACACCGGTGATGGCTTCAGACCAGTCCAGAGGATGAAAGCCTTGGTGAGTCACCAAAGCTATACTGGTGACTCACAGTAGTGTCTTGATGTGGATGGGGCAGCTGGCTCTCTGGAAAGCTCGGTGAAGGCTTGGCGTGGCAGCAACAGCACCGGCAGTAGTTGTTTGGACCACTTAGCGGTGGAGACGGCGTCTGGATGAGGCACCTGGAAGAAGACAGTCGGTGGGTTTGGTTGGCTTCAGGGGCGGCGCCGCGTGGTCCCTAGGGTTATCATAACCCTAGGGTTTCTTGATGGAGCATCTGGGGACCGTTGGATCAAGGACAGATCTAACGGTGGTGAGCAATGGCGGTTGGGAGCTTGTGATATAAACCCTAATTAATTTAGGGTTTCTGTTTATAACTGGGCCTGGACCAAGTTGGGTCTGGGCCAGTATGGGTTGTAATTGGGCCTGTAATAAAAAATAATAATATTATAATATAATAATATTAAAATAAAATAATAATAAATAAAACAAATGAAATAAAAAAACTAGTGTCTTCAGCTGCCCCTCTTTGTTCATTCTTGTGTTAACGAGAATAGGGCAAAGACTAAAAGACAATAAGTTTTTTTTTCATTTGACTTCACTTGATTATGATGGCAATGTTGAACAAGTTCTTCTCATTATGAACTCTTTCACTGGGGATGACAATTCATCTTCTTCTGTGATGTAATCTGGAAATGTTGATGTTGATCTATCTCCTTCTGTGATAGAATCATGCAAAAGATTGAACAAGTTCTTCTCATTATGAACTTCTTCTTCCTTCTTCAGATGAGTTCTTCTCATTATGAACTCTCTCTGGAAAAGTTGATCCATCAAGTGATGAATTCAAGCAAAAATTTGAACAAGTTCTTCTCATTATGAACTTCTTCTTCTTTCTTCAGATGAGTTCTTCTCATTATGAACTCTCCCTGGCAATGCTGATCCATCGAATGATAAATTCAAGCGAAACGTTGAACAAGTTCTTCTCATTATGAACTTCTTCTTCCTTCTTCAGATGAGTTATTCTCATTATGAACTCGACTTGGCAATGTTGATCCATCGAATGATGAATTCAAGCAAAAAGTTGAACAAACTCTTCTCATTATGAACTTCTTCTTCCTTCTTCAGATGAGTTCTTCTCATTATGAACTCCTTCTTCCTTCTTCAGATGAGTTCTTCTCATTATGAACTCGACCTGGTAATGTTGATCCATCGAATGATGAATTCAAGCGAAAAGTTGAACAAGTTCTTCTCATTATGAACTTCTTCTTCCTTCTTCAGATGAGTTCTTCTCATTATGAACTCGACCTGGCAATGTTGATCTATCGAATGATGAATTCAATCGAAAAGTTGAACAAGTTCTTCTCATTATGAACTTCTTCTTCCTTCTTCAAATGAGTTCTTATCATTATGAACTCGACTTGGTAATGTTGATCCATCGAATGATGAATTCAAGCGAAAAGTTGAACAAGTTCTTCTCATTATGAACTTCTTCTTCCTTCTTCAGATGAGTTCTTCTCATTATGAACTCGACCTGGCAATGCTGATCCATCGAATGATGAATTCAAGCGAAAAGTTGAACAAGTTCTTCTCATTATGAACTTCTTCTTCCTTCTTCAGATGAGTTCTTCTCATTATGAACTCGACCTGGTAATGCTGATCCATCGAATGATGAATTCAAGCGAAAAGTTGAACAAGTTCTTCTCATTATGAACTTCTTCTTCCTTCTTCAGATGAGTTCTTCTCATTATGAACTCTTCCAGAAATGTTGATCCATTGAATGATGGATTTGAACTTTGCTAAAATCTTTGAAATTCCTGTCAAATATTCAACATGGATAAAATGAATGAAAATGCTCCTATTTTGCAAATGTCTAAATATGATGCATGAATGTTGATGCAATCTTCATTTGACTTCAAAATGGTGAACTCGGTTTTCCTCCACTTCATCATTTATTGCCAGGGTCACCTCTGGATATCAGTGTAGCAACTTATGCTATCAAGCTTGCATTTCTGAAGAACCATCTGATTAACTTTCTTTATGTCTTCTTTGCTTCATGAAAGTCTCAGAATAATTGTTTCATTTGTGGAACTCTTGTCGTAGCCAGAACTATAACCTTGATGCCCCATTTTGTCTTGGATAAAACCAACTTTCTTTGCTTGGAGTTGTGCAGAAATCCGATAAAGCTTTCATCTTTGAAAAGAGAATATATCATCTTTTAAAAAGAGAATCTATCATCTTTGAAGAGAAAATCTATCATCTTTGAAGAATGTAGATGTAGATATGCCTGACTCAGCAGGGATTAATTAGGAGAGTAGAGTCTGTTCTGATTTGACTCTTGAAACATATCACAAGGAGGATTTATCCTAATTCCTTTCATGTCTCCACATATAATCAGATCTCGAATAAGGCAACTTGGACCATATCATATTGAGATGCTTAACAACAACCTGTCGTTCAACCTTAGTTGGCGCCACTAGTTTCTTGTTTAAAATTTCAGTTCTCCTTCTGTGGAAAGAAATCTTCATCATATCTCATTTCTAATCTTGGGGTTGAAGGAGACAAAATTTATCTTGGATCAATAAAGGAAAACCATATGATAACAACATTGGTTCAATACCATAATCATTAGTTCGTAAAACATTTGACAACACATTCTTCATCTCATGTGGTTTCAGCTCAGATGTTCGTAAAGCATTTGACAACACATTCAT